GTGGGCGCAGTTGTTTTTTTTTTTTTTTTTTTTCATGGTAATGCAGTGGCGTGGCGGAGTGCAAATCCCCACCGCATGAGTGTTTCAAGGTTTATACAAAAACGTGTGTGCACGCCGCTACTGATTCCAATACAAATATGCATGAATAAATTTAAGATTTTTTCGTAAATTCATTTATTGTAGGGGATGCATGTCACTGAAGGCATGTTCAACGTTCCGATCCTGTCACTGGCTTTTGTCTTGAATGTTGCAAGGATCTGCGATACTCATTCCGGTTACGGACATCTTTTTCATGGTACCAAACAACGGGTGAGCCCAGCCAGTCTTGCCTTTTCAATCAAGAAACCCGCACGAACACGAAGCATAGGCGATTTTGAATATGGCACAACTGGTATCAAGGAACCAACGACACATGCAACAAAAGTCAAGAGGAAGCTGAATCCGATCATTGAACGACATCCGGAAATGATGGAAGTGAGAGTTAAGGCATCCGACGTAGTTATAATCGGCCTTGTTCTATTACTGATGCTACTTCTTTCCGTTTTTTTTGTGTTGGTAATTATATGTCCCTGAATGTTAATTGTTTTCCATTCTTTCAGCTCAGTTATGTATGTATATTCCGAGAACATTAACAAACATATAATATATATGACACATATAATATATGTTCACTAAAGTCTTGTGAACAGACTCTATATGCATACTTTGTATATATATAAATTGTTTGGTACACTAGAACTCCCGCGTTTGGCACACGAATCAACAGTTTTTGTTTAAATTCTTTTTTTTTCGCAGACAGGATGAACGTCAGACGTTTGTTTGTTGTGCCCACATTGTTCTCTTTGTGAATCTACTGTTGGTAGCAAATCTAGCAATTTAATTATTAATTTGCGACCTACTCTTTCTTAAATATCAGGAAATTTACCCTCAATTCTCTGTTCGTGTTTTCTGGCAGGAGGGTTCTAACAAGCGCGCCAAAAAATTTGCTTAGTTTTTTATGCGTTTTTTGCAGCCACACAATGCAGAAACGCATAGTGACGTGGGGTTGTCTGTGTGTGCGTCTGTCACATTTTCATCTCAAGTCCTACAAACGCTACAGGGCTGATACTTTGGGAACATAATCTACATGCACGTATGGGCCCAAATCCCCAAAATGGGCGCCATTACCAGCGTGATACTCACATAAGAGCCCGCCAAAGTTTTCCACGAATAAGCAGCTAAATTCGGGGCCAGAAGTGCTTGGGGGCTGAAATTTTAAAGGGATGTTCCCCGTCCAAGTAGGTATTAATGAGTTCAAACCCACGTTCGTCGTTCACTGAAGCTGACTTGACAATTCCGGATGCCGCTGCATTGCATTCCGTTTTACTCATCAGCCTCTTTTTTTCACGC